CATTTTCTTATCTAACAAAAGAAATTATTGTATTCACATGTGCTAAGATGTGCAGTTTTTTCATTTTAAGTGTCTGAAATTAGCATGAGTTTTACAAACATGGTCATAGCTGTTCATATAGTCATTGTTTCAACTAAATTATGTGTACTCTTTGTACTGTGTGTATTGAGTTTAATTGTCATTCACTATTTTTTCAAAAAGATTACATTATGGTTCACTATTAGAACCAAAAGTTATTGTCTGAAAAGAACAAGATACAAAAGAACATCAAGAATTAAATTTCATATGATTAAACAAAGATTTGTTACTGGAGGCATCATTACAATCCTACATTTGCCTGCTGATCAACAGCTGACTGATTTATATGGCTTTTTTCTTATCATGTCAACCAAGGACCAGGAGTGTTGGCACCACCAAGGATGGTGTTATAAATGTAGAATCCTGAGTTCATACCAGATCTACTGAATCAGAATCTGCATTTTAACAAGATCCCCACATAATTCATTTGCACCTTAAACTTTAAAAAGCAGGACTTTATAGTACCAAGGTAGATCTCCACAAGAGGTTGATACTGTTTTAGACTTCTTGAGTTATATACTAAATGGTTGCCCCTCATATGATAAGCAATACTATTTAAAGCCGGAGAAAGTTTAAATACATGGAAGAAACTTCAAATCCACAGGAAAATGATGTGGCTGATTCATAAGTCAAGCATGACAATATTGATAGAAATCTATGTCCAAATTCATTTAAAAACTTTTTCTGTAAGCTCTATTTAAGTATGAAATAGATTCTAGTGATAAGAGAGCATTGTGCTATAATTTGACCACATTTTTTTCTTTCCTAACAGTAGATAAAATCATAGTATATCTTCCCATAGATGGAACATTAACTTTGGTAAAATACAGACAATGATACCAGTTCATTGCACCACAGATTCCTCAGAAGTAATGAAGATCATAACTCTTGCTTACATAAATCTATGCATTTAGGATAACTGGATAAACTGATGTAGAAAATAACTAATTTGTATCACTTTAGATTAATAGCACAGAAGGGGTCTTTGCTGAATGACTTTATTCAACTTTATTGAGGTATATTTGACAACTAAAAGTTATGTATACTTAAAGTATACAACTTGATGTTTTGATACACCTAAACATTGTGAAATGATCAAATTAACATGTCTATCACTTCACATCTTTATGATTTTTTTTTTGATGTGGTGAGAACTCTTAAGAACAATTCTCTTAGTATATTTCAACTACAGTATACAATACAGTATTGTTAATTATAGTCACCATGCTGTGCATTAGATCTCCAGAACTTATTCATCCCTCATAACTGAATCTTTTTACCCTTTGATGAATGACTGTTTACATAGGAAGAAGAGGAAGAATTAATTAAAATATTAGCCCTATTTTATTTTTATGCTACATTAAATAATGACAGTGGAAGTTTGCCATAAGTAAACATGATAGCTGCATTAACAGCAAACTAATTCACTATAACTTTGACACATAAAATGAATACTAATACTAACTTTGTATTCATTTGTGAGTGGATTTTTTTTTCTTTTTTTTTTTTTTTTTTTTTGAGACGGAGTCTCACTGTATTGCCCAGGCTGGAGTACAGTGGTGTGATCTCGGCTCACTGCAAACTCCTTCTGCTGGGTTCACGCCATTCTCCTGCGTCAGCCTCCCGAGTAGCTGGGACTACAGGCGCCTGCCACCGGGCCCGGCTAATTTTTTTTTTTGTATTTTTAGTAGAGACAAGGTTTCACCGTGTTAGCCAAGATGGTCTCAATCTCCTGACCTCTTGATCCGCCCGTCTCGGCCTCCCAAAGTGCTGGGATTACAAGCGGGACCTACCGCGCCCGGCCTGTGAGTGAATTTTTTTAATCACAAAGTAAAGCTTGATAAAAATACTTTAAGATGCTGGATCGAAATATCTGCTTTTAGTTTGACATTTTTAATCATTTATTTAATTGTTGGCATTTAGTGTAACATACAAAAAATGTTGATTGAAAAAATCTTTTTTAAAAAATGATGCTGAGTAGACTTTATTGACTGTAATCCTTGAGTGAAGCCACTGGCTGTTGGCTGTTAGACTGCTTTCAGCCTGTTTTTCCAGCTATACTTCTTCGAGGAGGATGATGATCTTTACCTTACTCTTGACTTTGCATACTGAAAGTGATTAGGTTTTTTAATGAGGCAGAAGAATGGAAATTTGAAGAAAATGGTAGAGAAAACCCTCTCATTTACCAAGATGACTTTCTAAGTTTATTTCGTGATGAGCTACTTGGAGATACAAGTCAAATGATGAAGTTCATGGAAACCTTTTGAATCTTGCCTCCAGAAGAGAAAGAGATGACAATAAATCCAACTACTTTTCCCATGCCTTACATGTTTATTTTCCTATATGCACAGTATCTTTTATATTCTAGATGCTTAATAAGTCTTTTTCAAGTAAATGTATGCTGGAAAATGTTGTAATTGAGGTAAATGGACATTTTTAGCTGGCTATATTACAGAAGACTTTATTGACTAGGTGATCTGTTAGATGGTTTTGAAAGATAATGAAGATCTTAACTGGCACACAATCAAGTATTTATTATATGCCTTCATCTTCCACATTTTATTGTATTTTTTTTCACTCCCTTGTGAAGGAAACTAATTTCAACAATGCTGTGTTGTGTCATGCATTAAGCCAGTCATAAGTAGCAAGAGGTATCTGATTCAGTTTATATTATTGTGTTAATTATCTAGCTCTTCAGAATATTTTACATGAAAAATAACCTCAGGTGAATACACTTCTGTTACTGCTCCAGAAACCTTTTGACATTTTTTTTTTTTATAATCTGTAATCACATTGATTTAAAATGACATGACAGAAATGCCTGAATGTTGACAAGGTGATGGGAGCAACAAACACCTGCCTGTTAAATTTGGGCTCACCACCTACAGCACCACACATATCATTGATCCAAGTGTACCTTGACTGATTACTTTAAAAGAAAAATCTGGACTTCTCTGGATTTATAAGCAAAGTCAAAAACATTTTCCAAAATATTAAGTTCTAAAACTAGTAATAATTATGGTGTAGCCCCTTACTAATCAGTGTGCACCAGGGACCAGCAGCCTCTAAATCATCTCGGAGCTTTTCAGAAATGCAGAAACTTCACCCAAGACCTAGTGAATTAGAATCTGCATTTGAATGAATCTCCAGGTGATGCTGAAATGGGAAAAGTTGCCTTGTCCCCCTCACAGGGCATGTGATGGGGCTGTGGCTTGTTTCTTCAGTGCCCCTCTGCTCAAATCTCTAGGGCAGCATATGGGCGGACTGGGCAGGTTGTGGGGCTCCGACCCCACAGCAGTGTTTAGGGGTGGATGTTTACAGCTCCACCCCAGTGGGAGTGTGCTACCGTGTGCTCTTTTAATTTTGCCGTCTATAGGCAACTCGTGTTAACCAGCTCAATTAGACCCTCTACCTTGTCACAAGAACAGAGGACTTTCTGTATCCGGGGTTCTTGCCTTGGTGTACCGGAAGAGTCGGATCACACTTGGAGAATGAGTGCAAGGTTTTATTGAGTGAAGGGTAGCTCTCAGCAGATGGGGGAGGCCAGAAAGGGGATGGAATGAGAAGGTTTTCCCCTGGAGTTAGGCAGCTCAGCGTCCTGTGCTGTCTCCTCTGACTGCCCCAGCCAAATTCTGCCTGCCCCCACTGGTCAATGGCCTGCTGACTTGCCGATGCCTGTCGCCTGTCGGTGCATCCCTCTCTATGTCCAGCTGCCGGTGCGTTCCTCCGCTGACGTGCTCCTCTCCACATCCAGCTGAATGTTTCATCCAGCTGTCTGTTTCATCCAGCTGTCTGTGTCTTCTTGGGCAGATCTGCTCCTCTGGACGTCCAGCAGCTTGTGTGTCTGCCTTCTAGAGTCTGGGGGTGTCAAAAACATTTTTCAAAATATTAAGTTCTAAAACTAGTAATAATTATGGTGTAGCCCCTTACTAATCAGTGTGCACCAGGGACCAGCAGCCTCTAAATCATCTCAGAGCTTTTCAGAAATGCAGAAACTTCACCCAAGACCCAGTGAATTAGAATCTGCATTTGAATGAATCTCCAGGTGATGCTGAAATGGAGGGCGTTGGGGGCTGGTTATAGGCACAGGATGGCAGGCCAGGGTGGTCTTGGGAAATGCAACATTTGGGCAGGAAATGCCATCCTCACCCAGGGTCTGTCGGGGTGGAGCCCTAGCCAGGGACCACGCCTTCCTCTACCCAGCACTTCCCTTCCCCGCTTCCATGTCATTTAAAGGGAACAAGCTCTTACCTTCCCAGCACTTCCATATCAATGACTGTGCACTTTAAAATTTGAGAAGTGCTGGTAGTCCATTCCCTTTCCTGATCTCCAAAACATAAGGAAATTTTAGAGGCCAAGATGCATTTAGTAGATTCTGAATCTAAAGGAAACCTAAATCTTTCCTTGGAAGTAGATATTGTTTATAGCATCCTCAAACGGAATTAAAAGCATACATGACTAGATTTAGAACAGAAAAATCTGTTTTACATACTTCAAAATCCTTTGGGCCCGTGTCTGTTTGTGTTCCTATGACTTCTTGAGTTATACATTTTTATTAACAAAGAATAAAATTATATTTACTAAATGAACTCCTTTGTACCTGTTGTACCAGGTCTTTTATCAAAAGTTTCAGAATGTTATTTTATATTTCTTAAGTTTTTCTTAGACTTGTAGAAATCATGCTGCTTTGTTCTCTGCAGGAGTTAAAATAAAAATATTAGTAATTATGCATATTTAATTTTCAGAATGCCAACTGATTACTCATAGCACTTATAAAAGGGAAATGATTTTAGATATTCATAAAACATTTCCTTAGTAAGGGGCTTTCAAGTTTGAAGTTGTGTTATTATGGATATTTCTTTTTATAATAATCAGGATAAAAAATGCATTTATTAAGATCCCTCTTCTTTCCTCTTTTTCAGATGTAAGACAAAAGTCTACCCTGATGAACTTCCAAACACAAGTGTAGTCATTGTGTTTCATAATGAAGCTTGGAGCACTCTCCTTAGAACTGTTTACAGTGTGATAAATCGTTCCCCACACTATCTACTCTCTGAGGTCATCTTGGTAGATGATGCCAGTGAAAGAGGTACAAGCTGTTTTTTTTGTTTGTTTGTTTTGTTTGTTTGTTTGTTTTTTTGTATTAGAAAGCTTTATTATGGCCAAAAAGATAACTAGGCAATTATCTATATTTGCATTATAATTTTACTAGCCCTGCCATAGCCTATCAAATTCTCATCAATAACCTCATTAATGCCAACTCTAGAAGCAAATAACTAATTCTTTCACTTTCTCTCATGATTCTATATGGTTCTTACTAACCTAAAAATTCAGCCAAAATGACTTTCAATAATATATCTTTTTTTCCAACTCAATTGATTATATTATTGAGCATTCATGTGATTTTATGGATACATGACATTAATTAACTAATGAAATCTCTATTATTTTATATCTAAGGCAAAAAATACTGATAGGAATTGGCCACCATTTCTGTGTGTTGAATTTCCATCTTGGTAGTATCTCTGCTGTTTCTTAAAACAGTTTCAAAAATGTTTCTTATAAATTCTTTTACATGTTACAGATTTTCTCAAGTTGACATTAGAGAATTACGTGAAAAATTTAGAAGTGCCAGTAAAAATTATTAGGATGGAAGAACGCTCTGGGTTAATACGTGCCCGTCTTCGAGGAGCAGCCGCTTCAAAAGGGCAGGTCATAACTTTTCTTGATGCACACTGTGAATGCACGTTAGGATGGCTGGAGCCTTTGCTGGCAAGAATAAAGGAAGACAGGTAAGAATTTATGTGTTATGTCTGCCTGGGTTATGACTGAACCTCTTAGGACAGTTCCAGATGTCCGTCAGAATTTGTCTTCCAAGTTCCTATTTTTAGAAGGCTTATTTTATAGCTTTTCTTAAAAGCAGGTTTTCCCACTTGCTTGATAAATAAGACTGCTGTATTCATGCTGGACATAGATAGTTGACTAAGAAATAGTGAAACAATTCAAGTTATAAAAAACATGTTAAATTACTTTTTAGGTGAAGGAATTAAATATAATCTAAAATAGTATAATTGTGTTATAAAGCACATTTTCAAAGCACCTTTTCGTGTTCTCACAACTACCCTGTGAGGTAAGTACTGTAGATATTCTTATCTATAACTCATAATGGGGAGGAACTAAGGAGCTACATCTAACTTGCTCCAGTCATTGGAAGTGCTGGGAACAATTCAGCTCTTTCCAGTTCTCTGCCAGTGTTCTCTAAACTACACGAGCACCCTTAGTCAGTCTAGTTCAAATTCACCTGGAATGTCTTAAAAATGCACACACATACATGCACACACACAGCACTGAAAATAATTATAATTAAAAAAAGGAAACGTAAGAGCACAGCTATAAGAATATGTTTAATTATTTCAACAATATTGTCACCTTATACATACACATTTTGAAATCTGGAAAATTGAATAAATAGCACTTTATAGAAATTAAGAATCCTTATACATACCTGCAGTTCCTTCTGTTGTTGATGAAGTACAAGCGTTCTTTTTGCAATTATTTATAAACACTGGTGATAAGAGAGTATAATTTCTAAATACCTAATGAAGATAACTAACATTGAATGCTATCTGATACAATAACAAAACATTACATAACACCTTACTTGCATAGTCATTTCATCTATAGTAGAAAAGTCCTTCTAGAATTGACATTTTTAATTAGACACTCCAGATAGGAACTACTTAGTCTGAGCTAGTCCAGCCACATCACTTAAACAGCAGGATTTGGTACTTGCCAGGAAGATGGATGGAAGCTGTCAGTAAAATGAAGCACAACAGTTGAAGAAAACGGTAGGAACCTTTTAGTCCATAGAGTGTTGTACATGGCTAATAACATTTTTCCACTCTGTGTATTGTGCAGTACCCACAGGACAATAAGACTGGCAAAGTAAAATGAACTTAAAAATGAATTTCCTGGCAAATTTTGGTATATTATGCTGTTTATTTTTACACACGTGTTTCATATTCAACTCAATGCGCTTTTAATATTTCAATATGGTCATGCATAGGCTATTTTTTGTTTGATCTAACAACATAATTACCCTGTATTTGCATATGATGAACCCTATTATCTTGTCCTGATTATAAATTTGAAAACTACCCTAAATAGATAGTCTGTTCAAGGTTTTTAGACCTAATTTCTTCTCCTCACAAGTTAAATCATTAAATCTAATAAAGGAAGTGAGAAAAATATTGATTTTTCTGGGGTCCAGAGTCACCAAGAAGCTTTCCCAAGGCTACAGGAGTCTTGTTGATTGCAGATAAGTTGAAGCTCTGGTCAATTTTGTGGAATATAAGACCTTAATTGAAAATGAGTATTGGTGAAACTGGTGTTACAAAACAAGTAAATAATGGACATTTGTGTGCTTTTCATATCTGGAGATGATTCAGAAGCCTATTTGTATATTTACCTTCTACCAAATATGAAAAACCAACTCTGGTCTTCAGAATTAGCTACAACCAGTACGATTTGATTAGGCCTGAATGTTTACTTGTGGAAATCACAGAAGTTTGATCCCATAATAAAATAAATGAACAGGGGTTAGATCAAGAATTAGAGAAGGCACAACATGGATTAAAAGTGTACCTAATGATTTTCCCAAATGAAATTTTCTAGCATAGAAAGTTACCATTAAGAACACCAACCTTTTGGCTCTTACTTTAAGAAAAATGGGATAGGCCAGGTGCGGTGGCTCACGTTTTTTTTCTGTCTCAAAAAGAAAAAAAAAAAAAAAAGGATAAAACACCAGAGATTGAAGTTGCGTATCTTTCCCTATCTTAAGCTATCGTCTAGATTATAAATGTAAACTCTCAATTTGAGGACATTTTACTCAGAAATTGTCATGACCCTATCATTTTTCATAGGAAACATTTACTTATACTGACAGATTATGATTTTTATTGTTGCTGTTTGTTGATTTTTGTTTGTTTTTCCTAGTAGGTGTTTTCTCCATGAAGATGTCCTCAGAACTCTCTAAACTAACGTACCCTACTTGAAATGCAAACTACCAGATCTAATTTGCCATCATCCCTTCTTCCCTCCCTGAATGCTATTGCTTTTCAATGGGTTATAGCTAAAATGATACCTAATCTCAAAGCAGCTCTACTAATCATGCTGTGGGTGGAGGTTTGATGAAAAATAGACCCTGCTCATCTTGCTAAGTTAGTACTTAGAATGCATTTGGAAATAGACTTGAAGGTCAATTAGTGTATTTGATTAGATTTCAAATGATAGCATAAAGTAAACTGTAAGGAATATATATTCAAAGGAAATAATTCCATGGACTAATAGGATAAAATGAAGCTAAGGCATATTAAAGTAACAAAATAATTACATTTCATCATATCAACTGTAATCAGTTTGGAGAAGATAATGTAACATTTTAATTATCATGTGTCTATAAATTGGTTTTAATTTTTCTGCAGGAAAACGGTTGTCTGCCCTATCATTGATGTGATTAGTGATGATACTTTTGAATATATGGCTGGGTCAGACATGACTTATGGGGGTTTTAACTGGAAACTGAATTTCCGCTGGTATCCTGTTCCCCAAAGAGAAATGGACAGGAGGAAAGGAGACAGAACATTACCTGTCAGGTATGTATATCATCTCTCTTGAAGATTATGTATATTCCCATAAAAATTAAGGAATATTATAAATTTCTGTTCTAATGTTGAATTATTTAATCGTATCCTTATTATTCAATATACATATACATTATGACCCTTTACATAATCATATAAGGATCAATGACAATATTAAATCTAATTTAAATTAGTATAAGCAAACTTAAGTATTGGCAAAAATGCTAAATATCTTTTGAAGGTTTATGTATTCTTATATTCAAAATATATTTACTGTGAATTTTCTGTTTGACAGAAATGTGCTAGCCTTGACACTTCAAGTAAATGTATGTCTTACCTTAAAGTGTATGGCTTATAATAGAAATGTTCTCAAAACTGAAATAGCCAAAAATGTTTTGCTAAATATTCTAAATATATCACGTTTAAACGGCTATCTTCCTTATAGATTCCATAGGTCCATTTGGAAAATTTTAATGTATTCAAAATTTCAAAGGGTTTATTGCCCCAAATTACTTCAAATACTACTTAAGTTGAAATATTGATTAGTGAAATATGAGCTTACTTGTAATAAAAAAATATCATATACATCTTGAATTGTCTGTATAAGCATTACCCACTTTATTAACACAAAAGTATCATCTTCATACTTAAACACATTGTGAACCTCTTACCTGAAACTAAAAATTGATTTCCTGAAAAATACTTGGGGAAGTATTCACTAGTTTAATTCTTTAAAGATGAATTTGGCAAATCATCCTTCCTTTGGAACATGAGAAAAATACCCTAACATTCTAAAACCATACACTTTAAGTCCTCACTTAGCATTGTAAATGGGCTCTTGGAAACTGCTACTTTAAACAAAATAACAAAAAACACTGTCATCAATTTTATAATGGAGGGACATTGAACTAAAGGATGTTACTTGAGGACCTTTTATTTGTCATTTCACTTAAAGTCACAATAGCATTAAGTGAAGACTTACTGTATATAAAATCCATGATCTGAACAAGAATGTCTGGTAACCTACTGAAGGGATGAGTTATCTATTGTCACCTACTTAATTATATAATGAATTAATTGAAATTAAACTCTAAAAATTGGCTAATGGAGGAGAGTGGCTAAAGTTATTTGTTACTGAACAATTAAATATTAGAGATGTTAACTTCTAAAGGAGATCTATTATATCAAAGAGAAAAATAAAATGTGACTTCTAACATTTGCATAAAGTCATGTAAGTTATCATGTCAATACTTAAAATGTAACCTAATAGTCTTAAGTCTTGTATAATCTTCAAATTCACCAAGTCTTATTGATACTTAACCTTTAACAAACTGGGAAAATATAGTGGCTCATGTTACCATCATTTATTAGATATTCTGTTTTCCCAAATTGTTTTCATTTAGTGTTAGCTGATATTTAAACTTTAGATCCCATGTGAGAACTATCAGAATGCTTGACCAATACACTTACATATAGATAATGTTTTTATTCATTTGAAAATGCTGTTTATAAGAAGGCATGTTTATACTCATTTAAAAAAACACATTGGCAAAAGACATGCTTTATTTATGTTCTCACAGAGTCAAACAGAAGATAAGTAAGAGGTAGCCAACATTCATAGTAAGAAATTACTGATTTCATTCATAAAATAAAGATCTATGTAGAAATCAATCATTATTACTCATCTTTCATTAACTAAAACAAAAGATGAATCATCTAACTTGCTATATTTTAACCATAATTTATGTGGTTGTATTACAGTAGCTTGAGAACTGGTAAAATCTCAGTACATTTTGTTTGCTTCAGTAACTGCACATCATTTTATTTTCTAACACACTGAGGAAGCTGAAGCGAGGGAAACAGAGCAACCTCAGTCTTTGCTGAAGTTTCTAGATTTTTGTGGCAAAAGGTTAATTAATTCGTGGGCTCGGTTGTAACAGCCTGCAGGTAATTTTCATCAGCATAGCTGTAATGTGAACGTTCCTTCTACTTGTAATCTATTGCTTGAAGCTGTGATCATTTTTCTCACAGTCATACAAACAGATAAATCATTCTAGATGTTGAAGATAATTTTTTTCCTACTTGATTAACAGAATTCTGAATAGCTAAAGTGATGAAAATGAAGCTGAAATTTTAGTTTTCTTAGTGGAATGCTTTATTTAAAATGTCAGTTATAACAGAACTTTGTAGTCACCATAATTGGCTAGTCATCATTTAGAAATACAATCATGCAACTGCTTATGTTGAAAGCCAGGTTGAACTTGTGACCTAAATCAGTTATACTACATCTAAAGTAAAGCTTAACATGGTGATTCTTATTTTTCTATTGCCAACTTCTGGGCTTTGGTATTTTCATTGTCATGATAAATGGAGTTTGTCAAATACTTGTTAATGTTCATATTATAACCATGGAATAATATACATAATTGTGAATATATCGTTTTCTTTAATCAGTAAACTTTCCTTGACATTTAATAATCAAATTATATGACTTTTCAAGAATATTTCAATTATGTGTGCAACAAATAGTACCTTTTAAACTGGAGGTCATAAACTAGGAGCTTTTGTGCCAAATATTCTCTATAGAAGTGTTTTATTTGACATACATAGTGTTTTACATTTTCAAAAATTACCAACACTTTAAAAATGAGATATTTTAAATAAAAATCTGTATTTCCATCTACTAATAAGTCAGAAGGTCTTACTACAATGGACCAGGATTCTTAACCTGGCACCATCAGGTGGAGTTTAGTAGAAACTGCCCATGTAGAAATGGCATGAAAACTTATCCCAGTCTCCACAACTTCTTCTAATTATGTTCCTGACTCTGAGGCTGAGGGTCATTTGGTATTTGTTATCATTCTTGAAATTGAAGAAATATTTATCTGCACCTGTGTCTTGAGGAAAGAGGGAAAATATATTTATTGCAACAAATCCACTTTATATAATTATCTTTATTTGGCTATAATCTTTTAAAGTTTTGACGCTGGTCTTAGAGGCTACTGCCTGGGAAATGGCTGAGTTTGAAACTCATCAAGCATATCACCCCTGTATAACTATGCATATACATTACCTAATGGAATAGGCAACTAGTAGCAAAGTTACCTGATGATGCAAATAATACTCTAGATCATTTAATTAATTTGGGGATGAGTTATACATTTTTTCCTAACACATGCAAATGGGAGGTGATTTGGTTTAGGCTATTGAAATAAGTTTGATTCCATACAAAAACAAACATACAAACTGTTCTATTTGTATTCCATGCATACAAACTGTTAGGCACTGTGTTAAGTTCCTCACATACAAACATGGATAAGGCAACCTATGCTGTCAAGTTCCTCACTGTCTGGCACTGGCCACAGGTATGCTGGATGAGGGAAAGAGTCTAGTGTAAATGGTCCAAGTGTGGATGTACAGGAATAATTATGTCTACAACTAAAGTGGTGTGGACCTCTAGAAATGAGCCTGGCTTAAGTCTTATTGATTGCTTTAGTCTCTTAATTATGCCCTGTAAGTGAACCTCAAATAATTATAAAGATATTCATTTCCACTTTAATTTCACACTGATTAAAATAGATTTTTAAAATTAAAAACCTATTGGTAATTTCCAAGTGAATTTAACTTTTTTTACCCTTCACATCTTACCTTATGGACTTTTTTACATTTAATCATCATTAATATTTTTAATATGACTGCCTTCATTTTTACTTCAAGTGCCATATTGAGTATACTTCTAAAGTAAAACAAAAGAGTTTTAGATGTTCTTTTAATTCTGATATAGTAATAAATCAAATGTAAATATTATTGGTTTTTATTTCAGACCTATTATACCTAATCTTATTCCTTTTTATTAGCATTCACTTTATTTCATGCATTTATTTTTCACTCAATTAGAATTAGGAGTTTATGAAGATCAAATAAATCAAGTAACATCATTAGTATCTCTGATTATAATTGTGAAAAACTCATGGAATGTTCACATATATTATCTCCTCTATCATTCTAGTGTGATCATAGAAGAAGCATCGAAGCTAGCCTTCGAGGATCTGGTTTTATTTCAAGCTCCTCCAATTAAGAAATTACCTAGTCTTCACAACTGTAAAATGGAAAATTATTCTCCCTACTTTGCTTAACTCATGAAGTGCTATAAAATATTGAAATGAGCAATGTCCTTGATATGAATTAGATTTTAAATTCATATCTGATAATGTAACATATAGATATTGCAAAATAAATGTGACAAGTACCTAAAAGGATAAAGAAGCAGAACACCAATGAGCCACCTCTTTTTGAATTTGGTTGTATTTTCTTCGAAGGCTTTTCTATTCAATTTTTCTACAATGTAGAAGTTAATATATCATCAATATTTTTCTATGCCATTAATTTTCCCCCACATAGGTTTTAATGGCTGCTAATGTTTCAATTACTTAAGATGTTTCCCTATTTTTTTTTGTTCACTAAAGTTCATCAAGACTTTGTTTGCACTTTAATTTTTGTATCAATTATTTCTTCTTCACCTAGTTTTTGCATACAAAGTGATTGCTTTAGAATTATGCATTTGAACATGAAATTTATTTTAATATTCCTGATGCCTTCTGCCAATTTAATTCCTTCCCAAAAATATTATCACTGAATCAATTTATAATTTCACTAGTAAGTATAATAAATTAAAAACACAAATGTTACTCTTCAAAATCTTATACAAATATAAGACGAAGTTTCTTATGTTTAATAGTAACAATTTACTTCTTAATTTTTATCAGATTGTATTACACTTTTCTCAATCCAACCATAATATATGTTTGAATTGGAGGAAAGAAACAGAAATAGATACCACAAAAGCCTTTAAAACACTTCTATAAAATGAAAGATATGAAAACAACAGCACAGGGAAAGGTCAACATTGTGAGCAGAACAAAGACTGAAAGAAAGAACTAACTTTGGAATGCTCAACTAGTAATGCTCTTGCTTACCCCTGTTAAAATCTAATGTATGTTGATTGAGAGAAG